CTGGTTCATAGGTCAATGCTCAACCACCAACCCACCCAGGCTAGGCAGGCATGAGCATTTTTGCTGACATAAACAAAATGGTCCACAAGTAAGACGGTGTACATCTATGGGCTGGCACACTGTCTATGGGCTGGCTATGTGCCAAAGTGGCTCTGTCAGTGTGGGTGGCCAGTTCTAGCGTGGCACTGCTTTTCTTACAAATGCAAATACACCATCTAGCTACTATCTATATCTTTCACAAAATCATTCATTTCCTGTCTGTTTCCTAGCTACGGTAACAATCACAAGCTTTAAAAATAGCTTGTCCTATATAATACAGTAGACAGTGCCCAATCTGTGTTTTGGACCAGATGCCCTCACAGACAAGATTTTAGCAGACTGAAATTTATTTTTTTCAAGGGACTTAGATCTTAAAATAAATAAATTATGTCACCCTCGTGTAGTAGCAGTTTATGAGATAACTGAACATGTCAGGCATAGGGGAAAAAACTGTCCCCAGCAGGTGGTGTTCTCAGGGCACGGACACTCCTCGTGCTCAGCACTCCGCTTACCAGCTGTGTGTGGAAGCCCAGCACCCAGCTGCCTTGACTATGCTCTAGCTCAGTGGTCGGCAAACTCATTCGTCAACAGAGCCAAATATCAACAGTACAATGATTGAAATTTCTTTTGAGAGCCAACAACCCACTTCTGCGCATGGGCCACGAAGTTTCAATCGCACTGTACGTGCACGCCCGCACATGGTATTTTGTGGAAGAGCCACACTCAAAAGGCCAAAGAGCCATATGTGGCTCTTTTACCGACCACTGCTCTAGCTAAACTCATATTTAGCTTATAAGTCAGTTCTGCCTCCAGAGCCCCCTATTTCTGATAATGGCACTCACCCTTCCCATCATCAAGGCTCGAAATACTACTACCAGTTTGTACTTCTCTCTGGACCCTAACAGACTACCGTTTTACCTGTGTGATCTCACTTATACTAGCAGCGCCCCCTGCTCTCTGGTTTTGGGAGCACTATCCTAGCTCAGGCCCTCTTTGTCTCCCCTACTGGACACATGTTCTAACTTTCACTGTCCTTGTCACCAGTCTCTCTCCCATCCAATGTACCCTTCCTGGCTAATTTCTGAAGTACAACATGGACCACAGTGCTTCTTTGATTAAAAAAAAATTTTTTTTAAATTGTTTCCCACTACCTTGGAAAAGTCCATTTGAAAAAACTCTCTTGTTGTCACTGTGCACATTCCTACACGGAGCACCCTAGCCTGGAGAAAAGCTTACAGTCCCTGATGTGCTGCTCAACCTTCTCCCGCATGACTCCCCTCTCACAGCCCCTTCCTGAGACCCCGGAGCCACTGCGCTGGCTCAGAGGGACCCCGGCTGTCCTGCTGTTTGCTGTGCTCAGGCTTTTCCCTCCACCTAGGTGGCACCCCATTCCCATCAGAGAGATTCTGCACCTCTCTCGCTGCAAGCTCTGACAGTTCACCCAAAGACTTTACAGTTCAAATCAGCTAAAACCAACTCCCCCTGCTTCCTTCTAGTCTTAAACCACTTTGATTTCTATTTCTTTAAACCAGAGGTAGGTAACCTTTTTTTTTTCTGTCAAAGGCCATTTAGATACTTATAACATCATTCACAGGCCATACAAAATGATCAACTTAAAAATTAACCTGCTATATATGGTCAAACATTTGATGAACTCATCCCTAATGCCTTGGTAGGGCCAGACTAAATGATTTTGTGGGCTTTCTACTGCCCACCGACCGGATATTTCCCACCCCTGCTTTAAACTAATAATGAATGATTAGAAGAAGAAATTTAAAAAATTATACCATTTACAATAGCATTTAAAAGCATATTATATCTAGGAATAAACTTAACCAAAGAGATGAAAGATCCGTGTTCTGAAAAGTATAAAACATTGAAGAAAGACACTGAAGAGAATACAAATCCATTGCTCAAGGACTGGAAGAACAAGTCCTTGCTACCTAAAACAATATAAAGATTAAATGCAATCCCTATTCAAATAGTATAGTGTTGGCATAAAAGCAGATATATAGATCAATAAAATAGAATAGAGAGCCCAGGAATAAATTTTCCAATTAACAAATAAATTCCAATAAATAATAAATTGATTGGTATGGTCAATTAATCTATGACAAAGGAGGTAAAAATACACAATGGGGATCAAGACAGTCTCTTCAGTAGTGGTGTTGGAAAAATTGGATAAATGTAAAAAAAAATGAAACTGGACCACTTTCTTGCACCGTACATAAATATAAATATAAACACAAAGCGGATTCATGATTTAAATGTAAGACCTGAAACTATAAAACTTCTTGAAGAAAACAGGAAGTAAACTCTTTGACATTAGTCTCAGCAATATCTTTTTGAATATGTCTTGTTGGGCAAGGCAACACAATAATAACAACAAAAATAAACAAATGGGACAACATCAAATTACAAAGCTTCTGCACAGTGAAGGAATGATATTCGTCAACGATACATCCGATAAGAGGTTAATATCCAAAATATGTAAGAAATTCATACAATTTAACATTAAAACCCCCCAAACAATCTAATAAAAAATGGGCAGAGGATAAAGAAGATATCCAGATGGCCAAAAGACATATGAAAAGATGCTCAACATCACTAATCACCAGGGAAATGCAAATCAAAACCACAGTAAGGTACCACCTCACACTTGTCAAAAGGACACATAAAAAAAATCAAGAACTAACAAGTGCTGGCGAGCTTGTGAAGAAATGGGAACCCCTGCTCACTGTTGGTGGGGATGCAAATTGGCAAAACCACTGTGTAAAATAGTATGTAGGTTCGTAAAAACAAAATAAAAATAGAGCTGCTATATGACTCAGGAATATCACTTCTGGGTATATATCCAAAGAAACCCATTTGGAAAAGCTGTACACACCCCTATGAACATTGCAGCATTATTTTACAACTAGAGGCAAGAGTAGGTCTCCTGCCCCTGGCTGCCGGCACCGGCTTCCCTCCGGACCCCGGCTTCTCTCTGGCCGCCAGCAGGCACCTGGGACCCAGACTCCCCTCCCAGCCCCGGCTTTGTCTGGAAGGACATCTGGACTAATTAGCATATTACACTTCTATTATTATAGATAGCCAAGACATGAAAGCCACCTAGGTCTTCATCGACAGATGAATGAATGAAGAAAATTGGTGTTTATATACAAGGAAATATTGCTCCCAAGGAATGAGATCTGGCCATTTGCAACAACATGGATGGACCTAGAGGGCATTATGCTAAGTGAAGTAAGTCAGAGAGAGAAAGACTAATACCATATGATTTCACTTACATGTGGAGTCTAAAAAGAATCAAAAGAAGTGAGGAAATAAAACAAAACCAACCCATACATATAGAGAGCAAGTCAGAGGTGAGAGGGCTGAAGGATGGGTGAAAAAAATAAAGGACCTATTATATTTTATCGTTTTATTCAGAATCAGGCACATTGTTTTTAGTTATGCATCATGGCTTTTCTGCTACATTATAAACTTTGAGGCAGAATTAATGTCTGACTCACCTTTTTATTACCTAAATAGGCCAAAAAAACAGGAAACCAATACTTATTAAGTACCTAAAATTTGGCCAGAACCTCAGACATTATCTTAATCCTCACAATAGTCTCATAAAGTTGGTAGTCTGATATTACATAAGAGAAACAGCAGTTCAAAGAAGCTAGTCAGGCCCTGGACAGAGTGGTTCAGTTGGCTGAGTGTCATCCCATTCATCCCATGCACCAAAAGGTCACAGGTTCGATTCCCAGTCAGAGCACAAGCCTAGGTTATGGGCTTGATCCCTGGTAGAGGCATGTGGTAGGCAGCCTATCCATACTTGTCTCTCTCTCTACAACCAATAAAAACATATTAAAAAAACACAATAGCAAAGAAGCACACCAGCCTTCTTGCCCAAATTCACCCAGTTAGCAAAGAACAAAGTCTATTTTGAATATACCTGCCCATTTCTATGGTCCTTTGTATATCACTTGAGGCTAAGTGTATAAAACACACATTAGAAGTAAATATCCATTAAGTGAGAGAAGCTATACCCGTCTACATTCTAAAAGCCACCTGCATGTAAGATAGCAGGATAAACTTATCTCCATTAAGCATGCCCAAACAGGACAAAAAAGATGTTTGACCACAACAGACAGCACATCATTGCGGAGCAGCAGTCTTTTTAAAGAAATATAAGAATGCTCTTTTAAAAAAATATTCAATAAACATATATTGTATATAATCTTACATATATTACCCTAAAAAGATATAAAGAAAAGTCCCTGCCTCTAGAGGCTCAAAACTGAGTCAGGGATAGATACACACCCACAACTAACTGTAATACAACATACACATTTCTTAGAAGAGAGGCAGTCAACTCAGACAGAGCCATGTCAGCACAAGTTATATTTGCTTTCAGAATTACAATTTGTTTAAAAAAAATATAAAACCTATGTGTGATCTAGAAACTTGAAAAGAGAAGGATTTGCTGAAGGAAAGAGAAGGCTTTTGAAAAGGACATATGAGGTCTGACAAGTTATGTAAGTGGTAATGATAAGGCAGTGATGAGAGCCCTGAACGCTCTTCTCAGGTTTTGCTGCTCAAAAACAACACTCCTGCCAGGACCGGTTTGGCTCAGTGGATAGAGCGTCGGCTTGGGGACTGAAGGGTCCCAGGTTCGATTCCCGTCAAGGGCATGTACCTTGGTTGAGGGCATATCCCCAGTGGGGGGTGTGCAAGAGGCAGCTAATCGATGACTCTCTCTCATCGATGTTTCTGACTCCCTATCTCTTTCCCTTCCTCTCTGTATAAAATCAATAAAATATATTTAAAAAACAAACAAACAAAAAAAAAAACAACACTCCTGAGTGACATGAGGACATGGCAGAGTTCAACAAAGTCCAAGTCCAATACCTATGGACCCAACTGAAGTCTTCAGCCAATCTACAAGCTCAGCCTCTCAAACACACCCATACCTTTGGAGTATCAACACATTCTTCTTCCATAAACGCTGCTTCTGCCTGACAGCTGGATGCTGGAAATGAAAAGGCCTCCACATTGGATGCCTGTGGGAGGAGGGTAGATCTCATCAGTCGCATATTCGGTGAATGCATGGTCACCGGGAAGCCCACAGTTTGTGCCTGTAAATATGACAAGAACAGACAGATTAGGAACATGAATACCTTCCATGTAAATACACATGTTTCTTAGAATAAAACAACTCTTCCTTATACAAATTAAAGGATAAATCATTTTGTTGGAAACTCCAGAAAAGGGATTGATTTGAAGCAGTCTAAACAATCTATTATTCTGAGATAGGTGTACAGAATTTCATTCATTCCTGTTTCATGTGAGGCATACAACTTTCCCAGAGATGACAAGAAAGCGTGTCTTTTTAAGGGATATAAGAATGCTCTTTTTAAGAAAATATTCAACAAACATATGTATACTAATACAAGAAAAACATGCAAATTGACCATATCTCCGCTATGCCCATCAGGAGTGAGTATGCAAATTAACCCAACCAAGATGGTGGTGGCCACAGAGTTGGAGTGACCAGGAGGTTTGGGTTGCCCCAGTGATGGAGGAAGCCAAGCTTCCCAACCACCCTGGCAGGCCCTGGCCTCCACTCAAAGCTACAAAGTTTCAATTATAGAAGACAAATAAATCCCAACAAATTGGCAGTGGCCATGGAGCTAGAGCAAGCAGAAGGCTTGGGTTGCCTTCAGTGATGGAGGAAGCCAAGCTTCCTGCCTGCCCTGGCCTCTACTCAAGGAGGCACTGGGGGAAAAAAAAAGAAAAAGAAAAGTAAAAAAGGAGTAGCTGGGACCTTGGGTTGTCGGGGGGTGATTAAGCCAGGATGGGATGGCAGTTGTGGGTGATCAGGATGATGGAGTAGGGGGGCTGTTGGGTGTAAACAGACCAGCAGGGGGCCAGTTGGGGGTGAGCAGGCTGTCAGTGGGGGTCAGTTGGAGGCGATGAGGTCAGCGGGGATCAGTTTGGAGTGAGCAGGTCAGCTAAGGGGAAGTTGAGGGTGAGCAGGCCAGTCGGGAGGGAAGGTGAGGGCGTGCAGGCTAGCAAAGGATACAGTAGGAGGTGAGAAGGCTGGCAGGGGGGCAGTTGGGGACGAGCAGACTGGCAGGCAGAGTGGTTAGGAGCAATCAGGCAGGCAGGTGAAAGCTGGAGCCAGCAGTCCCTGATTGCAAGAGGGATGTCCGACTGCTGGTTTAGGTTCAATTCCTATAAACTGGCAGTAGGGCATCCTTCAAGGGGTCCCAGATTGGAGAGGGTGCAGGCCAGGTTGAGGAACACCCTCATTTCTTGTGCACCGGGACACTAGTATTGTATATAATCTTACGTATATTACCCTGGAAAGATATAAAGTCCCTGCCTCTAGGAGCTCAAAATTGAGCCAGGGATAGATACATCCCCACAACTAACTATATACAATACAAAGGACCCTGCAGTAAATGCTCTCTATCTGCCTGTGAGTGTGTGTGTGTGGGCAGCGAGCGGGTAAGGTGGTGTGTATTTCTTGGCAAGGGTGTGTATGAAGAGAAAGAAGAGAGCAGCAGCAGTAACTTGGAGGTGACAGGAATGCCCTTCTTTCAAGGAGACACAGTCTGAATACAGCTTGCTGGCCCAGTGTAGAGAGATGCTTATTGCTAAGCAACTTCAGTTCCTGAAGTCAACCTACTAGAGAAAGCGCTTCTTCCTGTCTCCTTTAAGTAAACAAGCATTACAAACTCTCCTTTAAAAAATCATTTTAAAAAGAACCTTTCTTCCTGACAGTAGGCAAGGATTAATTTCAAAAATGAAACTGTTGGACAATCCTTTCCTCCCCATCTCTTCAAAACTAGCAGAATTATTCATTAGATGCCTTTTGAATATTACATACATTGTAAACATCTGAGGGAACAATCATCAGACTAGTTTCTAAAAGGCAGAGGAATGGCCTTTTTCTGCCATAATCACCTCAATGGGTATAAGATGGTGAATTTTAAATTCAAACAACAAAAGGATCAAACAATATGATGCTAGCTTCTCCTCTTCCAAGCCCTGGGATTAATTCCTGGCTCCATCACTTACGAATTGTGCACACTTCACTAGGTTACTTACCCCCTGAATTTTATTTTTCACCAGTAAAAAAGGGCATAATACAAGTGGAGTTAGTGTAAAAGGTAGCATGCAAAATCCTTCATTTAGGATGCTAATTCCTCCTAAAGTCTTAAAATAATCATAAGAATTTAACATAGGAATCAGACTGTAAAGTGAATACAGTTTTGTTCTCAGACACTATCTAATGGTTCCCAGTTAAAATTTCAGGTTGATGGTTTTCAACAATGAGGAGATATGTCAGAAATACACCTTACATATGAATATACTTTAAAAATATTTAGAACACACTTTATACTTGGTATATGCCAACATCTCTGGGTATATTTAATGAGATGAAGAAAAAAATAGAGCCCTAGCTGGTTTTGCTCAGTGGATAGAGCATTGGCCTGTGGATTGAAGGGTCCCAGGGTTCAATTCTGGTCCATGGTACATGCCGGGTTATAGGCTCAATCTCTAGTGGGGGCCATGCAGGAGGCACCTGATCAACGATCCTCTCTCATCATCGATGTTTCTATCTCTCCCTCTCCCTTCCTCTCCGCAATAAATAAAAAATATATTAAAAAGAGAAAAAGAATAAAATAGCAATAGCAAAGTGTTAGATTATTATACGGATAGTTAAAACAAAAAATATATTCTGAACATGATAGCTTTTCTTATATCATCTTCCGTAGGCTTATATCCTGGGCCACTTTTGAGGCCAAACAACTTTTTTTTCTTTCAAGCATTAGTCATTTAAATTCATCATCCATTTTTTCAAAGGATAAAGCTGAACTGTGATTTCTGTTTCTCAAAATTATTACACCGCCCTACATGAAAGTGGCCCCAGGCACCAGGTGACGGCCTTTCTGGAAGGTACTGCCTGGGAAGTGAGGTGCCCGCCTGGCCACTGCGATGAGCTGCTCCCGCCAGAACCTGCACCTCCGATTACTGTGACTTTTTACAGGGCAGGGCTGTCTGTGCCCGACAAGCGCAGCACTGTCCTAGACAGCTCTCATCCAACCGTGAACTTGGTCAGGACAGAGGAATCACATTTTATCGTGACAATAACTTCATGGTAGGTTTTCGGGGTCTGCTTTTTTAGGATTCTTGCAATCACTGAGGGGACTAACCAGTTGTTTTGGAACTAGGTAAGTTATAAATATTCAAATGGTATGCTCAGCACTACAGAACTGACTAAAGAATATGTTATAATAAATAGGTGGCTGATTAATCTCCCCACTTCTTTGGTAATAAACAATGATCATCTCTAACTAATGTAATGACTTTTAAAACCATGTTTATTGTTCTGAATCTCTTCCGATTCTGTTCTTCCCAGAATCATGAAAATTAAAATAATGTTTTCTCCTATGGAAAAATTTTATTGTTCCAATAAGAACATGCATGTTAGTGATAGAATTGTGTCCATGCCAAAACCGGTTTGGCTCAGTGGATAGAGCGTCAGTCTGAGGACCGAAAGGTCCCAGGTTCGATTCCGGTCAAGGGCATGTACATTGGTTGTAGTCACACCTCCAGTGGGGGATGTGTAGGAGGTAGTTGGTTAATGTTTCTCTCTCATCGATGTTTCTAGTTCTCTCTCCCTCTCTCCCATTCTCTCTGTAAAAAATCAATTAAAAAAAAATATATATAATTGTGTCCCTCTTCCCCTGCCCAAATCCATATGGGGCAAAAGTAGGTTTACAGTTGTATAAATTAGCAATAAATAAATAAATAAATAAATAAATAAATAAATAAATAAAATGAGAATAAATATTCACATACTCACAACTGTAAACCTACTTTTGCCTACCCCTGTATGTTGAAGCCCTAACCCTCAATGTGACTATATTTGGAGATAGGGCCCTTAAGGAGATAAGTAAGGTTATCATCCCCAATGTGACTATACTTGGAGATAGGGCTCTTAAGGAGAAAAAAAAAAGGTTATTAAGACAGGGTGAATTCTGGTATCCCTTTGAGAAGAGAATGAGACACCAGAGATCTCTCTCTGTCCAAACACATGCAGAAGAAAGGCCAGGTACAGGCGCAGCCAGAAGGCATTTGTCCACGAACCAGGAAAAAAGTCCTCACCAGAAACCAGCCCTGATCTTGGACTTATAGCCTCTCGAACTGTTACAAAATAAACTTTAGTTGTTTAAGCCACCATTTTTACAGTGCTTTTTCTTACAGTTGTGGGAAGCAGTAATTGAAGAATTAGGATGAGTGTTTCATTCTTGTCTGCTTACAGTTGATGGAAAGTTGGAATGGATGAGCTGTTAAGAACTAGGAGTAAGAAAACGGCATGACCTTTTTTCTCAGTAGTCATCTGCACTCAATTAGATGCAGTTTCCTGCATATCATACAGCAATGTAAGTACTCTATCTCTATCTAAGATGGAAATCTCACTGTTTTCTAAGTAGTATCACAGACCGTGCCTTCTTAAGAGCAAGGACTGTTTCCTAGGAGCCTCTGACACAGTGGCTGGCACACAGCACTCTATTTGCTGACCTGAGCTGCTGGTATAGTTTATTACTTTATCTTTGTAGCACACTTCTGAAGCAGGCATTTCCATTGCTATTTTATATTTAAGGACACTGAAGCTCAGAGGGGATGACTGTGAGGTTACTTAGCTCATGGAATCCAAGGCCTGCACGATTCGACGCTCATGTAGCCTTTGCGTGGGACTGTGTCATTGCCTCAATTTCTTTCTGCTGCATCAATTAAGAGATCTGCACTTCCATAAAACATTAGAACACCAAAGATTTAAAGGGAGAAGATCCTATGAAAACTTAAGCAGATTTATTTTCATAAAAACAGAGAAATGTATTTTCTATCAAGTTCAGCACTAAACATTAGGATGTGAAATCTTGGAGGGAAAGGAGCACCTTTTTCTGTTGCATCCAATGGCACTAAGACAGTTCATGGAGGGAGCTACAGATCCTGCTCCAATGACATACGTTTTAAGTCACAGTGGTAAGTAGTTTTCTGTGACAACTTGGGTCAATGTATAAGATGAAGATAACTCATGGGGTACGTGGTAACAAAAATTACCAAACGTAAGAAGCTATATTCTATATCCAAACCCCAAGACAAATGAAATATAATTTGAGATATCCTAGGGTATTTGCTTCAAGGTCAGATATGAAAGGAAGTTGTGTACATGTGTGTGCTCCAAAGCAGCCATTTAAAGAGCTTCCTCCCTCACGAGTGCAATGATAAGAACAGAGACCTGGAGGGAAAGCCTGCTCCAGAAGGGGGCTCTCTGCTTCTCTTTGTCCAGCAGTGTTTCCGAGAGGGAAGGCGACCACTATATCGCACTACCCCAACTCAGGAATTCTCATGTTACCCCCTCCTTTCTGTCTTTAAAGCAAAACCATTCAATGTTGAAGGATTCCAAGTACTCTGAGATACTCTCACCCAAATATCTGGAACTTTATCAACATATTTTTTACTCACATTAGTATCAATATTCACATTATTTTATATATTAAAGTATACTATTTGCCTCTTAAAATCAAGATTTTAACTTCCTTGGTTATTTCCCCCCCATATGTTATATAGAAGCCAAAACAAAAATACTATTATAATCCTTTAGTTTTTGTAAAACTGCTACACAAGAAACAGTCTGGGGCTCTTCCTGCACTCTGAACAAAGTAAGCACTCACAGAAGTACATGGAAATCCTAAAAGATGGTATCCTCTACACAGATGGTTCCCAATCTCTCTTCAGTCCCAGCCTTTCTTCCGGGTCCAGATCCAGTTTTCTAAAGCAACTGAGTCAATGCCCCACTAACTATTCTCTCAGCCTTTGGCTTAAAAACGAAGTCTTCTCTAACTCATTGTTGTCCCCCTCCTCTCCAACATTTATTTATTACTTTATATAACAAACACTTACCTAGCACTGTTGTGCTACACAATTATTTACTAATTTAAACATCATAAAATCCTATAATTATCTCCATTTTATGACTTGGGAAACTGAGGCATGTATGAGAATGACAAGTAACTTTAAAAAAAATGTTTCTATTGATTCTAGAGAGAGAAGAAGGAAGAGGGATGGAGCGATAGAAACCCTAGAACTCACTGCCTCCCACAACCACATAAAAATTACAACAAAAATACAAAACAACCATCATTCAGAATCTCCTGGAAGCTGGCTGAATGCAAGTACTACAACTAGAGAAGAGAAGAAGAAAGCATGGTGAGACCGGTAGGAGTGGGGGAGGCGCAGAATGGGCTGGGCTGGAACCCACATGGGCTGTTTTTGTAATCCAGAGGGGAGATTGTCCCTGCAGAGGCCTCTGTAAGGAGCAAGGGGTCTCAGACCCACATTAGACCTCCCACCCCGGGTCCCAGAGTTGGGAAGAAAAGTCCCTGTAACTTCAGTCTGTAAGAACCAGTGAGCATTGTAGCTGAGGAACATGGAGGCTGCTGGAGACCCAGGTGTCCCCCTTTAAAGGGTTGTGCACAAGCTTACTCAGACTCATTTCCTCTGAGCTTCAGTGCTTGGAGGTTGGGGGACCCAATCACATACGGAGGAGAAACTGGATTGCCTGGCATCAGGGTAAGAACTCAGGGGTGGCTTTCTATCAGATGGAGGAGCTCACAGGGATCAATCTCCCTTGCCCCAGGATGACTGGCAACCACATCTGACTGGCAACCTGGAGCACTCTGTTTGCTCCACCCTGATAATTCCCTGAGACCCTATTTCATCTAATTTGCAGCCCTACCTCGGCTGTTTGCAGCAGCTTTTCCATATGAATGGTTTATCCTCATTCAGGCATCTGACTTTGCTAAAATCTCTCAAACAGGCTGACGTTGGTGTCAGCATCCCCCAAACCTATCAATAAGAGACCCAAGACCTGGCACCAGCACCAGCCTGCCTTGCTTCACAGCTGGGCCTAGCCTGGGCACTTCCAAATCCAATACAAATAGGAAGAATCTGCAGTTCTCTCTGTAGCTCCTTCTAGATGGCCCCAGGCAGAATCTGACTTTGTACCTCCCTGGAGACCCAAGAGCCAGTGTACCTGGTGGACAGCTTCAGACCATACCAGATTACAACTCTACGCATAGAGAAGTGACACACTCAAGGGTAAAACAGTGAGCACCAAAGCCCTATTGAAGCAAGTCCTGTTTCATAGGGGTGTTTCCTGTATAGCATCTTTCCCACTGTAGTCACAGCTGGTCCTCACAGCCAATTGGCCTGGAGGTCAATTCCTTCCAGTAACACCAACAGCAATCAAGTCTCAACTACAAGACTGTTCATATAGCCCACCCAGGGGTGCACCTAGATTGTTTAGCTCAAGTTACTGGGGAGGCTGAGCCACTGGGCCCTACATGACACCTGCTACACAAGGCCATTCTGCCAATTCCAGGAAACATGGCAGCTATACCCAATACTAGAAACAAACACAGGGAAGCAGCCAAAATGTGGGGGCAAAGAAACATGTCACAAATGAAAGAAATAAAAGAAAGCAAATTTAGAGTTCAAAATCATGGTTATAAGGTTACTCAAGGATCTTCATGAGGCCTTCAAGGAACTTAGTGAGACTTTCAAGGATCTCAGTGAGAATGCCAAGGACATGGAAAAAGACCAGCAAGAAATTAAGAATATACTAACCATAATAAAGAATAATTTATAGGGATTCAACAGTAGAGTAGAGGATCCTAAGAATCAAATCAATGATTTGAAATATGAGGAAGCAAAAAACACCCAATCAGAAGAGCAATAAAGAAAAATGAATCCAAAAATATGAAGATAGTGTAAGGCAGTGGTTGGCAAACTCATTAGTCAATAGAGCCAAATATCAATAGCACAACGATTGAAATTTCTTTTGAAAGCTGAAAACCAACTTCTGCGCATGGGCCACAAAGTTTTAATCCAATAAACAAGTGTTGGTGATGATAGAGGGAAAAGGTTACTCTTGTGCACTGTTTGTGGGATTGCAGATTGTTGCAGCTACTATGGAAAACAGTATGGAGGTTCCTCAAAAAATGAAAAAATGGAATTGCCTTATGAGCCAATGATTTCTTTTCTGGGTATATATCCGAAGAAACCCAAAGGACTACTTCAATATATCTATTCCTATGTTCACTGCAGTATTACTTTCAATAGACAAACTATGTAAGTAACACATGTGTCCATCAATAGAGTAGATTAAAAAAATGGTGGTATATATATATACAATGGAATATTACTTGGCCACAAAAAATATCTTACCATTTGAGAAGGCCTGAATGGACCTGGAGATTATTATGCTAAGTGAAATAAGTCAGTCAGTGAAAGACAATTAGCATATGATTTCACTTATACGTGGAATGTAAAGAACAAAACAAACAAAATTGAAACTGACTCATAGACAACAGAAAATAGACTAATGGTTCACAGAGGGGAGAGGGATTGGATGAAAAAGATGAAGAGATGAAAAAGTACAAATTGGTGTTCTGGCCAGTATGGTTCAGTTGGTTGGGCATCCTCCTGTGCACTGAAAGATTCCTGGTTCAATTCCTATTCAGAGAACATGCCACGGTTGCGGGCTCGATCTCCAGTGAGGGTTTGCAGGAGGCAGCCGAATGATGTTTCACTCTCACATTGATGTTTCTCTCCCCTCCTCCATTCCTCTCTCTCTAAAAATCAACAAAAAGAAGTATAAACTGTTAGTTACAATATAATCACAGGATGTGAAGTCCAGAATAGGGAATACAGTTAATAATATGGTAACAACTATGTATGTTGCCATATGGGTAATAGAAATATTGGGGAGGGGGCACTTTGTAAAGTATATGATTGTCTATTCACTATGCTGTATATCTGAAACTAATACAAAATAATATTAAATGTAAACTGCAAACAAAAAGAATAAAACCTTGCCGTCTGCAACACCATGCATGAACCTAGAGGGTATTATGTCATACAGAGAAAGACAAATGCCATATGATTTCATTTGTATGTGGAATCTAAAATAAAACAAACAAGCAAGCAGACTAGAAATAGATTCACAGATAGAGAACATTTGGATGGTTGCCAGATGGAAAGGGGGTTGGGAGGCTGGGTGAAAAAAAGGTAAAGGGAATCAGAAGTACAAATTGTAGTTATATAATACTCATAGGTATGTGAAGTACAGCATAGGATATGGTCAATATTATAATAACTTTGTATGGTGTCAGATGGATACTAGATTTATTGGGGTGATCATTTCCTAAATTATATAAATGCTTAATCATGGGTTGTACACCTGAAACTAATATAATATGTATGTCAACTGTAATTGGGGGAAAAAGGTGTTAAAACATTTGAGAATCTAGTGAATGACAGGCAGAAACTTGACAACAAAACAGAGCACAGATGATGAAATCCTACCCCTTTGTAATACAAGATGAACAATGTGTCAACCATGTGAACAGGCACATGCACAGATAAGACTATTGGCTAATGGGGTGTTACCTTGGCAACTGTTTGTTCAGCAATGGTGCTGGGCCGCCTCTGGCGGGCATCGAGCCGCTGCTCCACAGGAAAACTGCTCCTATGTGATTTCAGGCGCTCCACCAACAAGTAATAAATGGCAGCGAAGTGATTGTAGCTCTTGTTCTGCAAAGACTGAAAGAGAAAACAAGCGCTGAAGGCCAAGAGCCATAAAAATCAATCCAATGATCTATACCTGTCTAAAAAAAGATGGAAGAAATAATGTTTTCTTTCTTACAGAGTAACAAAGTATACCTCAAAATAAAAGCTGTTCCAGAGTTTAAAATAAAAGATCACTTCAAGTTTCTAGTTTTAATTATATACAGGGGGATACCATTAAATAACAGGCCCTTTGACATGAACAGGATCCATTTATTTTTCTGCATTCAGAGAAAATGCCATCACTGTCTCATGCAGACATTCCCCAATGCTGTCGTGTGGTCCCATCTCATAGCTCTAACTATGGCGTAAGGTTGGCTAGCAACCTGAGCCCTGAGGCTCTAGATCTATAGCTTCCACACAAGTACAAACCACTGCAAACTCTGAAGTGACTGATTCAAGTCTTCAGGGAACTTTCTGGTGATTATTTTAGGCTGGAGAATGACATTTGGAAGCTAGACTGAAAGACACGGTGTCTCCGTTCCTAGGTAATTTTTTCCTCTTGCTTTTGCAGTCCAGCCCTCTTAAAATCTTGAATATAAAGTCGCTTCCCAATTTTTCACATTCCTTGTCCGCCAGATTTCCAGGGTACTAATGAAACAGAGAAACAACTGCTCCTTTCACTTCTAATTCCACCTGACAGTGTGCCTGGGTGCTGTGCAGTACACCTAAGAGGCAGAACACGTGGCAAAAATCCCAGACCAGTGGAACTGTGCTCACATCAGAGTGTGTGTCGAGCAAAGTAGGAAAGCCAGTCTGGTTTCACTTATGGCTACCCTGAAGGAAAAGGCAGTACAGTTCAGAGCACTTAATATTCACAAGGGAGCATTTAATATTCTTTCTTGTTATGGTCCCTCCTCAAAAGTACTGTTTTCTGTTTGTTTGTTTGTTTGTCTGTCTTACTATTGTATAGGTATTAAGTATATGTATATCTTATGAATATGCTATTAAGGAAAGAAAGAAATAAAAGTGACGAGAAATTTTCTAAATTCAAACCTTTTGGTACTTCCATATCAAGAATCTACCTGTTTTTGTCTGCTCAGCTTCTCCAGTTCACAAGCCAAATCCAGCTGGCTTTCCTAAATCTGATGCCTACCATTCTTGTTTTCTGCTCAGCCCTCAGCCTTGCTCCATAGCTGCACATTTATGTTCTATATAAACTAGTTTATTACTATGTGAGACTACTTTATGGTTCATCTTAGAAGAAACTTGCTACTTCGTATTTGTTAAGTTTCTGTCTTTGTCTTTTTCTCAGTCCTATATAAACCATTCCTCTTGAGTTTTTTGGCAGATGGGGCAAAGGCAGGGATTCATATGTTGAGTAAAAGAAAAAAAAATGCCTGATTAATCTTCAGGAATATTGAACAGTATGTTCAGGTACTGGGGATGGTCATGCTAAAAGACTAGGCTGATAGGTATGAGCATGAAATTTCAAGTTCCTGAGTACAACAAAATCCTAAAATTTTTTCAGTCAAATTTCCGATCACTTTACCTCAATGGTTTTCTGCTGATCTATTCCGAGGCTGTGCATCAGTCGCAGAACCTGTTCATTAAACTCCCCAATGGATGGCTCATTTTCTTGGCCTTGTGGATAGAGAATAGGTCTCTGTACAGGAACTTCTATGACCATCCATTTATGCTCCTTGATTTGAGCTATGGTTAGCCTTTTGGACGGGTCTAGGACCAACATCCTTCGAATAAGGTGCTCGCAATCTATGGAAAACACAATGGTACAAAAGTCACGTCAATCAACTTGCACTTCAGGGTGTTTGCTTTATTGATGTGACTTTGTACGATGGCAGTAATCTTTGTGTCCTCCACAGCGCCTACTGGAAAGCAGAAGGTCAAATGAATAAATAAATACATAAAGGTTACTTATATTTGTCAAATAGTCAGGTGAATGTTGACACACAAAATTAACCATCACTGTGAAAGAGTACTTAAGAAAAACAGGAGGCCATAGGCCTATCCAATTTTGTACTAAATGAACTGATTTGTCAACTGAAAATACTTAGACACAAGCTTAGATTTCCACTAAAGGAAAAAACAAGCCTTCTTCCCAAAATAAGCAAATAATAAGTGATCCTCAGTTATGTCTAAGGCTCTGTGAGGCAAGAGCTAGCCAGTGGACTGCTGCTTTCTTCTCATCAATGCAACTGAGACAAATGTACCTGAAACATTACTCACTCCTGATTCCACTAAGAAAACTGCACTGCTGCCCGCCTGGGCCCCAGCTTATTTCCTGAGCTGACGTCATGCTCTTCACCACGCCACATAAGCTTAGATCACTTGGTAGGTGCCAGGCGTTCTGCTAACTGCTTTATACAGATTAATTTAATTAATCCTCACAACAGCTCTCTTAGGAATTATGGTTTTTTCCATTTTATAAAGTGAGGAAATAGAAGCACAGAGAAGAGATATGAGTGAACTCAGGATTGAAACCAGGCAGTCTGACTCAAAAGTCTACACTTAATTATTGAAGCATTATTTCTGTTTCTAGAAAGAAAAGCATTAAGGGTGATAACCAAAAACTAATCTAAAGAGTAAACCTAACTGCAGCTTATGTTACAGTCCAATATAAAACTGATTACAGCATTTCATCTTAATTCAATAGTTCTGTCAGTTGGTTTTCAAATTTAATTTAGACATTTAATTTTTTTAAATTTTTTTTGCTAGACTTTAGTCACCCCGTGGTTTTTTTTTGTTTTGTTTGTTTGTTTGTTTGTTTTTGTTTTTAACATATTTTATTGATTTTTTTGCAGAGAGGAAGGGAGGGGGATAGAGAGCTAGAAACATCAATGAGATAGAATCATCGATCAGCTGCCTCTTGCACACCCTCTACTGGGGATGTGCCTGCGACCAAGGTACATGCCCTTAACCAGAATCGAACCTGGGACCTTTCAGTTCGCCGGCCGATGCTCTATCCACTAAGCCAAACCGGTTTTGGCTAATTTAGACATTTTAATTTTGCAATTTCCTGCCAAAAAATATGAGAAAATCCATTTCAAACTTAAAGTAAAATGGTTGTGAATCTGTATCTACAAAGAACTTCTCTAAGGCTAAAATCGACCTGGGACATTTATAGACTGAGAGTAAATGGGAGACTTGTGTTCCTAATCAGGGGACCTTTCTGTTTTCAGTTAGGAAGGCTGGAACTTTTCTCCCCTACATGGAGGGGGCTGCTTATTTCTATGGGTTTTAAAGTAACTCAGTCACTTTACTTAGCACCCAAACTCTTAGGAAAAGGGAGGCTTCGCCTACGCATTTCATTAGGAGTGCAGGGTCTGTAGTGCCCAATGAGTAAGGTGAACAGGTTGTTACCTTCTGACATGAAGTATGGAATCCGGAATCTTCCTTCCAAAACCCTTTGCCTCAAAATAGGAAGAGTGGGTCCATCAAAAGGCAGCGCTCCACAGACAAGGACATAAAGAACAACTCCCATGCTCTAGGGGAAGAAAACAACGGGGTCATTTTTACACCAAGAACTTCAAACACTCTTTGTTTCCCCAAATATCCCTTAATGTCCTATAGACTAAAAAAAATTTGTTTGAATATACTATGTTCTTAAATTTGAAAAAAATCTGAAATGCTAATTATTACAATAAAGTATCCTATAATAAATATCAAAATGCATTAATCATTTGATTACTATTTAACGTTAAATTATTGCTAATATTAGAATGAGAACATCTGTCCTTAGAAATTCTTTCCTAGAATCCAATTCAAGATACTCAACTAATTATAGTCCAATGGGTAAGGAAAGTATGAACTACTGCCTATGTGTTAGATACAAGAGCTTTAAAAATGGGCCAAAGTTCCAAGTATTATCCTTATAGATGCATTTAAACAAAACACAGCAAAGCAAAGAAATACCCAAATATCCAGCTGTGGTCCTTCATACTGCTGCCCTTCAAAGACTTCTGGGGCTGCATAAGGGGGGCTGCCACACCAAGTTGCCAGAAGTTCACCACTTTTAAAGAAATTTCCAAAACCGAAATCTGTTGGAATATAAATAAATGGTCCTTTCATCTGTGGTCTCAAACTATACTGGATTTCTCTGTAATCAATTTTATATGCTACATTAACATTATCACTGCTATTTACTTTGTGAGGAATGGGATGACATCTGTCCCGCTTCCCTAACATTTAGCACAGACTAGCAAATATTTAGCATTCAAAAAATATTTCTTGAATGTATACATGAATCAAGTTTTCTTCTCAAAGAAAATAAGAGATTAGAAAAAATACTTTAATACTATATTTTTAAGGCTAAAAGAAAATCCATTGGTGTGGACAACCAAATTGAATTTGATAATCTCAGAATTTCAATTACTCCATGATTTAAGAGTTAGCTATCTTATATGGTCTGTAAGAAAGGAACCAAATGAATAAAATTCTAAGAAACTCTAAGAGATTGGCTGTTCCTACAGCCATTATCACAGGGCAGCAAAGTATATAACCTTTTAAGGCAACTGAGTACAGTGTTTCCTACATAACAACTCTCTAAGTGCTGGTCCATGTATCTTGATATAGGCAGATACCTACCTGAATAGGAAAGAGGTGAGGAGGATCCAAGATGGCTGCACAGGTAAACACCTAACCGCGGCCGCACACAACTATTTCAATAAAATACAACTAAAATACAAAATGGACATTACCCAGAACTACAGGAAAGTCGACTGACTGGAAATCCTACCTGAATAGCTCACTAACATGTAATGGCAACATGGTCCAGTCACAGGCCACCTATCACCAGTACTTACTCATTTATGGAATGTAGTGGCATTATACTTTACAACAGTTAATGGCCTTCCCCTCGGTGTTTTGTACTGAATCTACCTTTTTAATATACAGCATGCACTCTGGGAATACTATACTCATATGCCTTCAATATGCATGAAAATTACAGCAGAATTCAGTGAGCTTTGGTTTAAACACAAGCCTGTGCCCTTTTGCTCAGCATTCACATAATCTCATGTTCTTACAGAAGAAACAAATTCCTATTATTTTGTCAGGTACAGCCTCACTGCGCTGTTACAGCCTGACGGGAGAACACTGCCCTAGTGACTGGCACTGGCCCTGCACAGCACTGATGGACAGTGAGCGGCCCCAGGGGACTGGATCAAGTCTCCACTGCCAGACTGACTGGCTGCGTGACTTTGGATCAGTCTTTGTGAGCCTCTGTTTTCCCATCTATAAAGCTGAAATAATAAGTATACATAGTCAGCAGGTTATTGTGGAAATCCAATGACAATACAAACTCACACCTTGAGTATGTACATTATGTGGAGCGTTCTCTCGGTTAGTTGATGTAAAGCTGGTGGCAAGCAGCAGTAACTGTAACAACAATCACAATCTCCAACATTATAGCTTCATGGTAGAGTACAAACTAGGAAGTTAGGGAGAACTAGAGCTGGCCTCCAATTTTGCCAATTTCTACCTTCAACTCCTCTAGGAAAGTAATTTAACTTCCCTGAACCGTAGTTTCTGTATCTATAAATGTGGGATAACCCACTTGCCAAAATAGGATGCTGGGAGGATTAAGCTAGATTAAGAATATAAAATGAAACGAGCTCCCTTCTCCTTCTGTGGAGCATTATCATCAACTATGGCCTTTCAGAGAAAAAGGTCCTGAGAGAATACACAAGGACAGTAAGAAAAGTATGGCGGAGCTTAAGGGTTCAGAAAAGGGTGCATTGGGGGAAGAGCCTCAGGTGCAGTCTACACCTGATGAAGCAACACTATGGTCTGTCCTTGGCACCCAGGAGTATGGGACAATGAGAACTTCTCCCTTCTCAGGTTCAGTCCTATACTCTGTTTTCTGAAAAGACTGCAAGAAAGGTCTTATTTTCTTAATTCCACCTTAAGACTAGCGACACACCTTACAATATATGTCCACATTGATACATTTTAATTTTCTAGAAAACCTATATCCTCAAATGAGTCAAGAACTATATGTTCAAATAACATTTAAAGAGGAAAATATTAATTCATGCACACAGAAAAGCACACGGAGCTCTGGATGAGTGTTAGGAGATCCTGAAATAGGTCCGATAATTGCTGTGTTTCAAACCGTAATCACAGGATGAGTTTTAGCACACATAAATTGAGGACACTCTCCAAACAGCATTGTAAAGTTTTAAAGTCTCAAAAAACCATCCCAGAACTTCTTCTTTCTGAACTTCCCTGGACTCTGGTGGAATGGACTCAGGGCTGACTGGGCAGAGGTTGGTCAGGAAAGCAGCCCGGCCTCTTTATTGCCTGAGCCTGCTCACTGTATATTTCATAGGCAAGAGGCGAGAGCAAGGAAAGCATCACGTGCTTGTGGCATTCCAGTTTCAACCTTGGCTTTACATGTCTAGGACACAGAAAGTGTCTTGTTAACTTGTAAAGAATGGTACCAAGTAGATGTGTACTTCTATTTCCTGTGAGTAACTAAAGAAAATTGGTACTTGAGCCTGTAGCAACATAAAATACCAAAAAACAATGAGATTCATAAAGGCTCTTATATGCAGATGGCATATATGCAGATGTTTTCTATAAGCTTATCAAAGTGCTTATACACATTGTATTTATATAATAGATCATCTGATATATCAGTTAAGGAAAACTGTAGTCAGGCAGATTTGGAATCAAATCCTGTATCTATAAATATGGGATAACACACCTGCCAAGATAGGATGCTGGGAGGATTAAGCTAGATTAAGAATATAAAATGCCTGGAGCATATGTGAAATGAGCTCCCTTCTCCTTCTGTGGAGCTTCATCATCAACTACTGCCTTTCAGAGAAAAAGATCCTGAGAGAATACACAAGCTGTGTGATCTTGGGTAAATTACTTAACTCCTCAAACAGAGTCTTGATTATCATTTGCAAAATGGGGATAATACCTACACTTCATAAAGTCTCTGTGAGCAACTTATTGTATATTATGTCACTACTTATAAATAATCTATAATGCATGAGTTACTCAAAAGAATAGAAGAATATTAATTCTTCCTCTTCTTGTTTTACTTATGTGCCTTCTCCATCAGACTCAACGCCTTGAGAGTAGAGAGGGGAATAATATATGTCTGAACTCCCAGCGCTTAGCACATGCTCTCTGTAGAGAGCAGCCATTCAGTGAAGGTTTGCTGATGAATATACTGTCATCTCTCTTGGAAGCACTATGTGTCAGAAACTTCTCTAGGTTCTCTGAAGATGATTTCTTCTTAATAACCCTATTAAGTATCCTTAGAGGGTTAAGAAGAGAAAGTGAGGGTAGAAAGTTAAGGACCTTAGTAGAGTTTATACTAAGTTGTAAAACTGGAATGGAAACAAAGCCCTCACTGTTAACTACCACCTTTGTGTCCTTCCTGACACAGTGATTCATAGCTATTTTTGAGCAAGTTAATAATGGTCAGGTTTAAGAAGTGGCAATGGAAGGCACTTAAAAATAAAAGCCTTTTTATTTCTTCACAGGAATCTGGATGACTTGTTTCAGTCAGTCTGCAGCTTTCTGCGTAAAAGCACTCAGTAAAATGAAGGATGTGCAAGAGGGATAAAATATGAAAATGGCACAGCTATGCAGGATTTGTTTCTTATTGCCATTTATTCAAATGCAATGTATTAATGTGTCATCCTACCAACCAAATTCACTGCATTCTTCCATTAAACATTTGAGTGCATACATGGATCAACCACTGTGCAAACACGGAAGAGATTCTAACTGCAACAGAGGGTAATAAAAGATAATGCATTTTCATCTGATTTTTGGAAAGCATTAAGAAAAGAATCACTTGAGCATTATTCCTCTATATGCTAGACCCAGATCCAGCCTGGCCTGCTGGAAAGGAAACATCCTTCTAGTTTAATTTCTTGGGCAATGCTCTGATCTGTAAATTAATACTTAACATGATGGCTGCTATGTCCCTCAGGCGTTCTGTGTCTTGTTTCCCTGTCATAAATTGTATGCCATATAATGTTGAACTTGCTTTGTCATGAATATTTTATTGTTTGGTTGTAATTCAATACTATTGTTATACTGTTATTTATTTTGATGCTTTGGCCATTCGGAGCTAATTCAGGTTGGTTCCTATATCCTTTCAACATGTCATATCTTAATCAAGCACTTTTCCAGAGAGCACCTGGTCCCTTTTACAGAAGAATTATATTCAGAAACCAAGACTAGGACCTAGATGTGCTCATTACAATTGGGATATCACTGCTTCTAAGCCCTGTTAGCAGACAGTCAGGAAGTATATGTATGAGTGTTAATTTATGTAAACACACACACTTGTACTTATTTTTGTACCTATCTATATGTATATATGTTTTCTTAAAACCCTTCATTTCATTGGGAGGATTACTGATCTAGGGTTCAGTCTAGAATCATTCTGATAGTACTTTTATTTATACTTGATTGAGCAACTGAAAATATTTTGAAGGTATAAATGAGGCAGGATAGAAAGAGGTTAGGGGAAGCTCCCAACAAGTGAAATGAGGAAGTAGGAACAGACACTGCAAGCCAATAAGCTGCTAGGGCCTCTCATCAGAGCCCCCACTTCATGCATGATTGAAGGGAGACAGTTTATGGCAGGAAATCACTGAGATGGTGGCAGGATCCAAGATGGAGGGAAAATTCACTGGAGCCCTAATTGGTTTGGCTCAGTGAATAGGGCATCTGTTGTGGACTGAAGGGTCCCAGGTTTGATTCTGGTCAAGGGCATGCACCTTGGTTGCGGGCACATCCCTATTAGGGGTTGTGCAGGAGGCAGCTGATCGATGTTTCTTTCAATCGATGTTTCTCTCGATCGATGTTTTTCTCTATTCCCCTCCCTTTCTCTCTGTAAAAAATCAATATATTAAAATTTCCCCCCGCACTGGAAACTGACCCCTAAGCTTGTTAAACCATCATTATAATGAAAACTGACACCCAAAGTAGGAGGGGGCACCGAGGGTGAAAAATGCCAGGGCATTTCAAGAACGACCATTTTAGGAACAAGACCAGAAGGCAGGGA